GTAAAATATATTTTACTATATATATATTAATTAATAAAACCTTAAAACTTCAGCTCTTATCTAAGTTTCGCTATTGCAGAGATCTCCCTGATCTTTTTTTACCCAAATGTAAAGAAAGGAACGAATGACATATTAATGAAAAAAAAAACTGCGTAATGATAAATTAGTTTTTTAAAAATATTGCATCTTTTTTTTATTACTTTATAATGATTGACAGCAAATGTTACACAATATAAAAAAGATCGACATTTGATTTTATCACCTCGTGATATAACGAATGTTCATTATGCTATGTACGCGTACACTCTTTTTATTACACGCGAGTATATATTGCACAAATAAGCCCTATTAGTCAAATTAAATGTCAATCTAAAATTTTTTTTCTTATTAAAACCAAACTTTTTGCGCACATTTTGATGACCATTAAAATTTATTCAAACTATCGAAGAAAATGGTATTTATTTTCCTTTTAAGGTAACAATGCATCATCATGATGCTTTCTTTTTCTAACATTTATTATTTTTTTTTCTTGATAAATTTCATAGGTAATCCTTTCTTTGTCTAAATATGTTTGCAAAGATTTGGTATCTGCTAATTTAAAAATGTAAGGAGCAATTTTTTCTCCTTGTTCCTTTTTCAAAATACTTCTAATGGAGCTATAATTCTTGGATTCCATAGTAGATCTAATGTAGATGAGTTTCATATTAACTATTTTTTGTCTAGATGAAAATTATGATCACATTAGATTGATAATACAATTGTGATGTTAAACAAACACTATTGATCCCTGAAATTTTTGATAATACCAATGTTCACTTTATCTGGTTTCGTTACAGTATACTCCATATGAGATATCTTAAATTATATATTTTAAAAAAATATAAAACTGATAAGAACTTTAATTATAAATTATTATACTTTGTAATTATTAATATCAAAATTATTTATTAATTTAAATATAATAATAATATTATTTGATTTCTTTAAGATATGCACTTAATTAATAATACTTAATAAGACCTATTAAAAATGATATAAGAAATAATATTAAATTAAAAAAATTGTATAATTTTTACCTTTTTCTTAAAATTTTTTTAGGTTTATAAATAAAGATACTTCATTTTAAATAAAAATCTGTTATTAATTTAAAAATCCTCAAAACTTTAATTGTTTAATAAAGTTTTCTTCTCAAGTAAATAATTGAAAAGATTTGCCTTAATTTTCAAATTATCTATTATGATTATAATTGAGTTTAGCTGATTTTGAATGTGATTTAAGTTAGTAAAGGAATTGCTATGTATAGAAATTAATAATATATATATATATATCTATTAGATACTATTCTTGAATCTTTAACTACGATTAATCATATTCTTTATTATTATATTATTTTATCATATGAGTTATATAATTATTCTTATATAATTAAAATAAAAAATTGTGTTGGTATTTTTAAATAAATGTTTAAAAAATATTTATAATGTAATTGATAAATAAAGTTTCAATAATATTAAAAAAAGAATTAAAATATATTTTATCTTTTAATATGAATTTACATATTTGTTTTAATTATTAAATTTCTGCCTCAGCTGAAGCTCTGAATTTTCTTCCTATATATATATGTACAGAATTTTGAGGGATTTCTGGCTTTTCTGATTAGATAAATTTCACATTGACTCATATAATTACTATTCATAAGTTTCTTTTTTTTTTGTAAAAAAGCTTTAAATTTATGTATTTATATAACAATGAAAATTTTAACTATTATTATATACTTTTGATTTTGTTTTATATTAATCTTTCAAAAATGTTTTTCAAAAATAATTTTTAAATATTATTTATACTCAATCTTATTTCTTTTGTTTCAATGTAAAAAAAAAAATTTTTATTCATATGAATTCTATTTGGATTAAAGCAAACAATATTTGAAAATCAAATTAACTAAATAAAGGATATGTCTTTCATATTAATGTTTAGTAATGTGAACAATTCGTTTTTCATATAAAAGAAATTATTGTTATTGTTGAGTTGAATGAAAAAAGAACTTGACAAAAAATTCTAATTCTCAAATTGTTTTAATATAAATCATATGATAACTAATATTCTTAAAAAATAAAAATTCATTCAATACCGTTTTTATCAAGATAAATTGAATTTTTCACTGGATTCATCATTCAAATTGTTGATATCATGATTTTTTATAAATTATGATAACGCGAACAACTCTTATATGTCTAATCATAAACCTTCCTATTAGATCAAACAACCGCTGATTACAGACACAAGTGTTTGTTCCAACACAATGACTCAAGAATGTCCTTAATTTAGTCGTCGCGCAAAATCGAAAAAACGACCCAAACGATCACTGCCAAATCCAGAACACCCAAGGAAACCTCAACAGAAATAATAATCAAACGTAGGGGTTATAATATAATCAGGAGTCTTGAATGACCTTGGCACGTATGTCCGCGACTACAAGTCCTCGAAATAGAACCCTCTCGAATTCTGAACAAGTCACGTTTTGTCCGTAACGATCAAGTAATAATAGACCAATCAAATTATAGTTTTCCTTTGAAAATTCAATATGATATAATTTATTTTTAATAAGATTAAAATTATATTTGTGGGATTTTCTTATTTGTTTATTTAATGAGCGTTTTTATAAAAAAATTGACTTACTAATAATAAATAACTACTACATATAGTTTACCGGTCAAATTGCGCATATTAACATCCCTTTGCTTAGAAACAATTGGACTATTCCGAAGTAAAACTGCCGGGAAAACAAAAGAGGACGGATGCATTTCGGCCTGAAAAAAAAGGTTAGTTATAAATAAGACTAATCCTCGTGAAAATTTAATTAGTCACATTTTTTTTTAAAAAATAAATAAATAAATAAATGTCATTGTTCGCAATGATTTACTTAATTAGCCTTCCAAGAGAATAAGTACTTGTGATTTACAGGTTATGAACCATTCAATACGACTATTGGAAAATTTGCTAAAAAAGTAAGACGATTAAATTTGGGGGATTTTTTTTTTTAAAAAAAATATTATTAGTTTCTAAGCATAAGCACTTAAAATAATTCTTAATTCATTATCTCATTTATTTATAATTCATACCATAAATAGAACTAGTTTAAAAATATCAACAATATAAACTTTTTTTAATGCATTAGATCTTATCTAAAAATTTCTCAAATTGACATCTCGATCTTCCAAAGTGGTTAATCAAAATAAATAATTGTTGTAACTTTAATCACCCAAAGAAAAAAAAGAGAATTTTTTGGAGAAATTGTAGGACACGGGAATTTATTTGGCGCCGCCAATGTCACAGCATGGCGCAGGAAACTAATCAACTTAACTTTTAAGTAAACTTAATATTCTTTAAAAATAAATAACCTAATGCGAATAAGGCGTAAACGTACCAAACAAATTCTAAAAAGTTTTTTTTTTTTATTTATGAGATTGTTTAAATTTCATGTGTTTTTTGAACATGGTGTCTGTGATATTTGATCATAAGGTCGTATCAAATTGGAAAAGGAAAATTGTAATACGCCCGAACGAAAAATTAAATTATTGCATTTTACGTGCATTATCATAAGTTGATCATTTTTAAAAAAAAAATATATATATATTTTTTTTTGATAGTATGAATTTTCCGAAAATTCAATTCTCACCCCTAAATAAAAAACTTAGATTAAAATTTTTAATCTTCGTAAATATAGTCATTGCGCAACGTGGTATATCCTTCAGCGATCCAGTTATATCTTGTTTTGGACGTTAAGGATTCTCTTTTTGTTAATAATTTACGCGAACAAAGCAAAGGTGGTGCGACATTTAACATTGCTCATCAACCGCAGTAAATGCATTTTTTGTTAAACACAATATAAAAACAAAAAAGAATTATAATCTGTTTCGTCCTCCCCTTTCGTTTTTCAATCGTTTCTGCATCGAGAAAAATTTATTGTAACGAAAAAAAAAAGTCGAATTTGTTCAAGGTTGGGCCAAACGTTTCTCTTAAAGTTTTGTTTTTCTTCATTTTTTTTTTTTAAACGTTTGTGCACAAATGCTTGTTACTATTAAAGTAAAAATTGAATAAATTACCTTAAAAATACCGATTAAAGGTTGCCCGGATTTTATTGAAAGCCTTATATGGGTTAGAGTTTTACTTATAAATATTCGCACACCAAAAACAATTTCACCTTTTTCTAAGATCAAAAAAATCAAATAAAAATTTAAAATTCCTTGCCTTCTCTTCCCCTCTAGAATTTTTCTTGTTATATAGGTAAATTTAAATTTCTGGTTTATTTATCTCTATTATTTTTTAACAAAAAAATAAAAAAAAATAAAAAAAATAATAAAATATTCCTCCCAGTTTTATAAAGTAGTACATTTTATTTCATCATTAAAATCCTCTGACGACAAAATAAAAACATCACAATCGAAAATTATTTTTGAGGTATAATATGGGTAATTCAAATTCACGAAAACAATCCTCTTTTATTGCTGGGAGGAAAAAATGCAAATACCCATACCTACATTGGAAACGCTTACGTGACGAGGAGGCATGGTGTCGATGCGATTCTAAGCGATTGGTAAAAGGTTGGACCAGCGGTAATAAAGGAATTGACCAATTTATCAAAGAATCTCAACTAAAGGCCAAAAGCCGAATGGATCCGTTTTTAGAATGGATCCCATACAACCGTCTTATTAATATTAGCGAAATCGGTGAAGGTGGTTTTAGTATTGTTTATTCGGCTGAATGGTATGACCTTGAAAAAAGACTTTCTTGGGCTGCTCCTTCAAAAGCTAGACCCGTCGCATTAAAAAGTATCAAGAATTCTCAAGATATTACATCAGAATACATTAACGAGGTAAGTAATTCTGAATGATTGGATGTAACATTTTATTTAAAAAAAATTATATATATATATATATATTTCCCCAAACAGCTCCGAACTCATCATCGATGTATTTCGGCCCCACCATCTTATTCTGGAGAGATGAGGTTCGACCATGGATTTCTTCGATTCTTCGGAATTACTCAAGATCCCACAACTCATGATTATATGATGGTCACGGAATTGGCATCATACGGAGATCTACGTAATTTCCTTCAAAATCATTTTACAGACCTTGATTGGTCCAGTAAATTGTATTGGCTTCGTAATATTACCGGAAATCTCTCAACCATTCATAAGGTCGGATTCACTCATCGAAACCTTCACCCAGGAAACATACTTGTCGGTCAGGTTAAGAAAGATGGAGAGACTGTAACTGTTGCTAAACTTGCACATTTGGGTTTATCTCGTCCTGCAAATAAAAAAGGTCCATTAGATGGGTTATATGGTGTTTTACCATATTTTGCTCCGGAAGTATTACAAGGAAAAAAATATACTAAAGATGCCGACATATATTGTATTGGAATCATTATGGCTGAACTTTCAACCGGCATTCCTCCATTTGTCGATCGTGCACACGATACGAGTCTTGCAATTGAAATTTGTAAAGGTTTAAGACCTTCATTTGCTCAAGGAACTCCTGATAATTACATTAGATTAGCGTGTCAATGCTTCAATGTGAATCCTTCCGAACGTCCAAACGCCGAATTTTTGGCGCATACATTCCACAATTGGTGGATGATGACTCAAAAAAATGATGTTTTATCTGATGCTTTCCTTGCGGCTGATAAAGTGATACCTGAATTGAATACTAATTTTTACGTAAACCCTGACGCAATTTATACAAGTCGTCTTATCTCCTTTGAAAATAATGAACAGGATTCTCCAAAGACTGTGAACTTTTTGACTTCAAACATGATTAATCAAAATTAGTTTTTCAATGAAATACTCTTTTTAAGATTCATTCTATTTTTTTTAGTTTTTTTTTAAATTTCAACTTTCATTGAATGCATTACACGTTTTTTTTTGTTGTAAATAATTTAAGCGATTTCAACCAAGCGTCCATCAAAAAAAAAAAATTCGACTTATTTAATTTATTTTCCATCTTGCACGAAAAAAAAAATATAATAATATAATTTGTAACGAACGTTCCATTTTTTTAGTTTTTTTTTTTTTTTCCTTCTATTAAGAAAATTTTGTTAAATATAATTTTTGGGATTTGGCAGATGTGTATTTTAGGTGTAAAACATAATAAAATAAAAATTAATGTTCAAAAACTTGATCGAACGATATAGGTCTATATTACTAAATTCGCTAATAATTGGCTTTATTGTAATAAGACATTTAGGACAAATTTTTTGTACGCGTTATCTGTTATACCAAACCTAGGTTCGTTCTATCAATTTTTTCTTAATATGGACACTTTGTCAAATATATCTATTCAATTAATTATTATAAAATTCAAATAATATTCGTTAGTAATAAGCGATCAAGATCACTTGAACCATTTATTAGTTATATCATACAATTTAAATTAAAGAAACGCAATTACTGTACAAACTCTACTATTAATAATAGCATTTAAAATTAAAGAAAAAGACTTTTATAGAAAAGGTCTCCAAATTCATTATTAATATCTGAAAATTAAAAATAAAAGGGGGGTTTTTTTCGAAAGCTCTTATCTATTGCATTTATCTTTTTCTTACATTAACGTTTAAAAAGAAAATTAGCCTATAAATTCCTTTAACCCACATAGCTATATTTATTTTGTCTTTTCACAAATTTTTATATCTAAGTCTATTATTCAGTTTTAATTTTTGTTGGTGGAGCTGAATTTTATATAAATAATAAAAATTCCATTAATATATGACTATTGGTAAATAATTTAGATAATTTAAAAAAGAATTTACTTATAAACTTACCAACAAATACCCTGCTCACAAATTTCATTATTTCATCGATTACGATTACGGGAAAGGATATCCATAATACAGCTTGCCACTCTACCCAATTTAGAGGAAGAATGGCAAATAGGTTCTAATATATATCGAATGAAATACAATTAAAAGTCATTCAAAATATTTAATTTCTCTAACATGGAATAAATTGACATCAATCTTGTAACTTACCGAAAAGAATGGAACATAGAGTATCATGAAATGTAAAATCATTGAAAGTATGATGGATAACACAAGGTATATATTGGACCATACGGGCAAAGTTAATAAACTCTCGTTTTCACTAAGAGAATTTGTGGCGTTGAACATTTCTATGGTAACCAATACCGAAAGCGACATTGTGGTGGCACGTTTCGCCATTTCATTAATAAACATTTCACAGCCAATTTCGGGGAACAATTCGTTGCATTGATGAAAGTTTGACTAAAAAAAAATAAATAAATATCAGTTTTGATTTTATAAATAACATAATTATAAAAAATCTTTACCAATTGATAGAAAGAAATTTGTGGTCCTTGATCATAAAATAAGAACCACCAAGCATATGCGAATACGGTCGCGCCACCAACATAAATGCCTATAATCATATATCGGAAAAATAACCATCTGCCAACGATTGGCTCACGACCACTTCGTGGGGGTTGGCGCATGATATCATGGTCAGGAGGATTGAACCCGAGGGCAGTTGCTGGAAGACCATCGGTTACAAGATTCACCCAAAGTAACTGAACAGGAATAAGCGCTTCTGGCATACCGAGTAATACCGTAAGAAATATGCTATAAGATGAAAATCAGGATTGCATCGTTAAACATATTTGATATAAATACTTCATATGAAACGTCATATGGAATTACATCATACCTCACTACTTCACCAATATTAGAACTAATTAAATAACGAATGAACTGTTTTGTATTATTATATATTGATCGACCCTCTTCAACGGCCCCCTCAATACTCGCGAAATTATCATCAGCGAGAACCATATCAGCAGCCAATTTGGCTACATCAGTACCGGACCCCATTGCTATACCAATATCGGCTTTTTTGAGAGCTGGAGCATCATTTACACCATCTCCAGTCTTTTTTTTTTTTTTAAAAAAAAAGAAGATATTAATCGAGTTAAATGATAATTTATTGATCAAATAAAATAAATGGCGTAATATAAAAGATATTAATCCATACCATTGCAACAACTTCACCTTGGCTCTTTAGTATCTCCACAAGTTCACTTTTGTGGGCTGGTTCTGTTCTGGAAAATAAATTTGCGCGTTTGACAATCTCAAGTTTCTCGCTTTGTGATAAATCGTCGAATTCTCTGCCAGTTATTGATTTTCCCGTTATGTCTTCATGTTCACCAAAAATACCAATTTTCCTGCAAATAGCCTCTGCAGTACTTTGATTATCGCCTGTGACGACAATTACACGAATTCCGGCCGTTTTGCATTTACGGATACTATCCTTAACTTCTGGGCGAGGTGGATCAAGCATGCCAACAAGACCAAGGAAAGTCATATCCTTTTCGATATTTTTGAAATTTTTAGGTTCAGTGAGATCCCAACCATTCATTCGTGGGTCACAACCATCTACCTTGGCCATAGCAAGGATACGTAAACCCTTTCTACCATATTCCAACAATTTTTCCTCTATCTTTTCGCGAATAGCCGGTGTGATACTTGTACTAGTTGTATTAGATAATCTAACGGAAACGCATCGATCAAGTATTGATTCTGGCGCCCCCTTGACGAGTAAGGTAGCGGTGGATGGATTGTTAATTGGTCGGACAAGCACAGACATGGATTTTCTATCACGTGAGAACTCTAAGGTGGCCAACCGATGGATTTGATTTTCATAATAATCATTACAAGCCGTAGCACGGGCCTTTAATGAATAAGCATCTAGAGAATCATTCATTTCTTTGTTGTCTGTACCAAGTTTTTCCACTAAAACTTTTAGGGCTGCTTCAGTCGGTTCACCGACATTATGATATGTCGAAGTTTTTTCGTCATATGCGATACGGGAATCATTACATAAAGCACACACTTGAGCCAGCTCATTGACACATATACTCGTTATAGGGAGGGAATCAACAATTTTACCGTCGGCAGTATATATGTTACCATGTGGAGCGTAACTAGAATCGTCCACATGATATTCTTGAAGATTTGTCCCTTCTGAAGATAACACGAGTACCCTTGAAACGCTCATGCCGTTCGTTGTGAGTGTGCCAGTTTTATCTGAACAAATGACGCTCGTACAACCTAATGTCTCAACCGATGGTAGAGAACGTACAATAGCATTTTTATTGGCCATCTTTTTCGTACCTAGAGCTAAGCATGTTGTGATCACTACAGCCAACCCTTCAGGAATAGCGGCAACAGCGAGTGCCACAGCGATTTTAAAATAATAGATAGCACCTTTGAGCCAGCCGTGATGTGAAGGATCATTGAAGTGACGAATGTTTATGAGCCATACGAGAACGCAAATAACAGAGATGACCTACAATGATTACAAATATAAGCAAATGATAAAAGAATCTAATATAAATGTTAAATATACCCTAATTTATATTTATCTCTACCTTCGCCAATAAATCACCAAACTCATCCAGTTTACGTTTAAGAGGCGTTTTCTCGGATATTTGAGATGTAATACTTTTATGAATGTCTCCTATTGCTGTACTACTACCGGTTTTTACTACTATAGCACGACCTTTCCCTAACACGACAGTAGTTCCCTTATGATTGAAAGGTTTTAAGATAAATATTCCGATGTTAAACAATAGAATCGATCTCGTATTAATAAAATTTTAAATTCAAAAAAATTTACCGAAAATAAAATATTTATCTGATCCTGCTTTACTGCTCGTGTATCGTTAATAGCTTCTATATCCTTGTTAACACTAACACTCTCACCGGTAAGGATCGCTTGATCTACTCGAAAAGTTGATGAATATATTTTTAATAATCGGGAATCAGCAGGAACTTTATCACCTACAGCGATATCAATTATATCACCGGGAACAAGTTCGGAAGCGTGAATTTTGGAATGATGGCCATCACGTAAAACCTTTGCCTCATCTGGTGAATACTCTTTTAACGCCTAAGATTACAATTATTTTAAAAAAAAAAAATTTATGATGAAAAGACAATTCAATTCATAATTGCACCAAACAGATAAATGATGACTATACCTCAATGGCCTTTTCAGCGTTACTTTCTTGAATAACCCCTACAAAAGCATTTGCGAAAAGGATCAAAAGGATCACAATTGGTTCTACAAATGCGGTTCCTTGTTCATTCGCTTCTTCAAGTAATGCGAGAACAAAAGATACTGCCGCAGAAGCCAAGAGAATTTGAACAAGTTGATCCTCAAATTGTTCTAAAATTAGTTTCAACAAAGGTGTTGATTCTTCCTGAGGTAACTCTAAATAGATCAATTGACGCAAAAGAAATTAAATGCATAAAAAACGATTAGAATTCTTAAATAATAGAAAAAAAGCGTCACAGTAGCCAAAAAAAAAACCCCCCGGAGGATGTAGCTTTTTTATTTTCCAAATTGTAGGTGACATGGGGAATAAAAGATAAAATAGAATACATACCATTTTTACCATACTTTTCTTCTGATTCTTCGACTTGCTTTTGTGTCAACCCTTTATCGATGACAACTTGAAAAAAATCCAAGATTTCTTTCGGGCTTTTTATAAAAGCGTCATCCATTCTTTACTCGAATCAAACAATTGATAAATAAGAATAAATCGTAAATTAAGTGAAAAACGCTTATTGATCTAATTTGAAAAAGATAATTCTATGAAAAATTTAAACGATCTCGATTTATATCTTTTTTTCTTTTTGTGCTAAAAACGTGTCTTTAATTAATTGGATATATGCACTTAACATGTATGTTAATGATAAACCATAAATTTTGACGTATAAACTTTATGATATGGGAGCGTTGCACACTACGGATCATATGATTTACTATATCTCATGACTGTGTCTCGTGCACGTGATAAATAAATCAGAATATTGAATTTATAAGCAAGAACGTACCTTTAATTTGAGATCTTATGAAATGACTCATCAATCAAATAAATCAAATTTTAGTAATGTAATTCTGAAAATCTTATAAATTTAGTAAAAAATAACCCCGAAAAAAAATTTTTTGATTTCAAAAAAAAATAAAATAAAAAAAATGTCTTTTCCTGTACCAGCAAATTTGGTTCCCGGAGAAACACAAACAACAAAACTTGCTCAAAATGGACTTACTTCTCATGCAACATTTACCGTTAAAGCTGGACTGGCTCAAAATTTAAAGGTTTGTTCTCAACTTTCGTAAAATTCTTTGATTTTTCTTGTTCTTTTACTTAAACTTGACAAATCAAAATTAATAGGGAGGTGTCATTATGGACGTAATTGACGCAAAGCAAGCTCGAATTGCTGAGGAGGCCGGTGCATGTGCTGTCATGGCATTAGAACGTGTTCCTGCTGATATTAGAAAACAAGGTATCTTGATTTATTTCAAACTGTCGAATCATGAAGATAAAAGAGAATAGATGTACCAATCAATTATTCATTTAGGTGGTGTTGCGCGAATGTCAGATCCAAGGATGATTAAAGAAATTAAGGAAGCTGTCACGATTCCGGTGATGGCCAAAGTAAGAATTGGTCATTTTGTTGAAGCTCAGGTAAAGTATTTATATTTTTTATTGTATTATCACCTGATTTTATCAATTCTAATTTAAAATTCTTTGATTTGTAGATTTTGGAGTCTATTGGTATAGACTATATTGATGAATCTGAAGTGCTAACACCAGCTGATGACGAGAATCACATAAATAAGCATAATTATAAAGTTCCTTTTGTGTGTGGTGCAAAGAATTTAGGCGAGGCTCTTCGACGCATTGCTGAAGGAGCTGCAATGGTACGAACTAAAGGTGAAGCCGGCACGGGAAATGTGGTGGAAGCCGTACGTCACATGAGGACTATTACCCGTGAGATTCGAAGAGCCTCTTCAATGAATGAAGATGAATTGTTTTCTTATGCTAAAGAATTACAAGCGCCATATCATTTGTTGAAAGAAACTGCTAAACTTAAAAGACTTCCGGTTGTAAATTTTTCCGCGGGTGGTGTGGCAACGTGAGTAAAAACCATCTAAAAAAAAAACAATCCGAGTTCTAAATATCTGACTCAAGTATTTTTTGAAATTATCAGACCAGCAGATGCCGCCCTGATGATGCAGCTTGGATGTGATGGAGTTTTTGTTGGCTCTGGTATATTTAAATCCGGTGATCCCGCTAAAAGAGCTAAAGCTATTGTTCAAGCTGTTACCCATTACAATGATCCTAAGGTTTTGGCCGAAGTGTCAGAAGATCTCGGTGAAGCAATGGTAAGTTTATTATTAATTGATATTTTATGACCATTCAAATTAAATATTTTTGTATCACTTAGGTTGGTATTAATATTGATACATTAACTAATGATCAGCTTTTATCAAAGAGAGGATGGTAAGTAGTATTACAGCATGATTAACTTAAATATGAAAATCTACCTAATTGTAGTATAACACGAACTGCTTAATCACCAAAATCAACCCTATCCCATTATATGTATGTACGTTTAATTATTAATATTGCTGCTATAGATAATATATATTTATACATAAACACTTTAAGTAGTTGAAAAATAATTTAGATTTTCTTAATCAAAAACTAAGTTTATCATAAACTAAGTTTATCACAACTTTTATTTAATAAACAAAAAGAGAGATATATATCAATTAATTCATTATATATCTACTAGTATATAATAATAAAAAAAAACCTTATTTGTTTGATTTTGCTTTACTGTATAAAAATGGTATAAAAGAAATACAGCCATCTTCCCATATCTATAAAAGAAATGAAAACGAATTAATAAAAATTTATGGGCTTCGAAATGAAATGTTTTATAGTACATACCGAACATAACAAAGACCCTCTATTAAATTGCTTTGCAAAACTTAATGATACGGGTTTAGGATCAGCATTTACAAGGAATGCACCTTGATCGTCAGGATCATTCCATGCAGGTCCTCGGATCAATCTTGGTAAATTCAAGAGATTTGTCTTCTTTGATACTTGAGATGGTAGCTTAGCGTCAAGGGCAACTAACAATCGAGTATCCATATAACATACTACGAGACGTTCGCCGTTTTGATCAATCGCCAATTGCTCAATTCCTTTGTCAGCGCTGATAATATATCGAAAAAGATGACTTTTAGTATTTTTATTATTTAAGGATTTAAAATAATAAATAATTGAGAATTACACTTCAGGAATTGGAGATAAATCGATTTTAGGTAACCATTCGTAGTCGAAATTTGGAGATATAGAAAGTACATGAATACGATCATCTTGACGAAATCCTAAGAATAAAGCGCGTCCATCCGCTGTCCAACATCCTGTCTAAAAAGAACCATTAGAATAGAATAAATTTCGTTAAGAAATCTAATAAATCATTTACCTCAACAGGATATCCATTCGTGCTTATCGTTTTAGATGTCCATCTTTGAGTTTCCCATAAGTCTATTTTACCATCTCTAAATAACATAATTTGATTACAATCAAGTGTGTGTATATATATCAAAATGTCAAATTATCTTACAATGAAGATGCAAATAAAAATTCTCCAACAGGACTCCAGCTTAGAAACGAAATCTTTCGACTTCTTGTTAAAGGTGTCCCGGTTTCAGATGCTGTATCCCAAAGGATTATGGATCCATCTGCCGATCCTGTTGCCAATGAGGTTATGCCAATAGTCAAGAATTTAATAGTATATAAATTGACAACTTCAAAAGAAATTAAGATTATATATCGAGTATAATTAAGGATATTATCCACGCGGATGCCAGGCTAGTGAGACGACATTTTCATGACCCGGATAATGGAGATAACGCATCCACGCGGGAAGCCGCATTGGCTTTGGTTCCTTTGATTGTTTAAGTGAAAGTTCCCATAAACAAATTCCTCGTCTTGAATGTTTTTAAAATGAATTATGTGAATGAGAATGCTAATTCGATCTAATTGATAATTTCATCTTTCATTGTCAATCTTACCGACATCCAACCGCCAAGATATTTCCGCCCAATGGTTTCCAAGCCATGCATGTAATGTCTTTTTGCAAACTATTCTCCAAGACTTCAGGAAACCATTCTAGTAATTCAAATAAAGTAAATGTTAATCTAGATCCTTTTTAAGTTTTTTCCAAGTATTTTATTAATCCACACCTTCGACGCGTAAATCATATAAAAAAATGACATCCACTCTGTGAGCTACCGCAAATATTGAAAAATATGGATGCCAATCAATAATTCTCGCAGAAGACCATTCTATCTTCCTACGAAGATAACGCATATACTCTTCAGTATCAGCATTAAAAAGGTAGTTATTCAAAAAATTCGGAAGTACACTTCTAATATTTTCAGCCACATCATGTATATATGTTTGAGTTTGATCTATTTGTTCACTTTTTTTTTAAAAAAAAAAAAAAATTAACTTTGTAAATTCATAAATTTATAAAATTAGTCATGATTTCAAAAAAAAATAAAAATAAATATAAAAAAAGAGATAGCTTACCCAATCGAATTCCTACTTGAATCCATAAATCGTCTATAAGCTGTAGGTGCTGTTGGTAAGTCAGTTACAACCCTTCGAGTACCAAGGTGAACTAAATCTGGATGCGAAAGATGATAAGGAATTTGCAGGCTTGGGAAAACTATGCCCTAGATATGATTATATTTATAAAATGTTAAAAATACATTATACGTATAAATCATTAACTTGGGCGTCATACCTCAGAATTTACATATTGAAAGAGATTTTGATCTTCTGAAGATCCTAGATTCACTAAAAGAAAGTTAAAAAAGGTGTTACATTATTTATTTATTTTTTAAAGAAAAAAGGTTTCATGTACAACTTACAAACTTTTCCATCGACCTCTGCTATAGTGATCTCATTTTGAGTAGGAACTTGAAAAAATTATGAATAGATAAGTTTGACACGATGATAACGTTTAGATACATGTTTTTTTTGAACGTAAAGCAAAATTTTTTGAAACAAAATATGATTATACCTAAAACTTTAGAGAAATTTAACGACATGTCGAAAGTATAAGGTTGGAATATTTTCGTGTTTAATAGTTGCACAGGGAATTTTATCAACTACATCAAGAGTTTTAATTGGTTGGATTATACCACGTGATTGATCAAATTATATAAAAAATTTTTTAACGTCGAAAATTTCTTGATCTTCCTCTTCTCACTTCTATACCTACAAAAAAGTCCTTGAAAACGATGAAATTCTCAAAAGGTAATAAAGTTATCAACGATTTTTTTCCTCAAATGATTCATAACGAATATAAACGAATGATGTTTAGTTGATGGATTAATTGATGATTGAAAATTTAATGTGGTTTAAAGAATTTGCTTATTCGTTAAATAAAAAATAAATCTTTTGACAAATTTTAGATGTTAGTTCTTCTCGACGTAAAAGTCGAAAAGCGCATTTTTCTGCTCCTTCCTCAGTCCGCAGAAAAATCATGAGCTCCTCATTGATCAAGGACCTTAGGGAGAAGTACAAAGTAATTTATTATTATTGCTTGTTATTTATTAATTTAATCATATTGATCCAACAAAAATGTAATTATAGACTCGATCTATTCCTATTCGAAAAGATGATGAAGTTCGTATCGTACGTGGTACTTTCAAAGGTCGTGAAGGAAAAGTAACTCAAGTTTATCGTAAGAGATGGGTAATTCATATTGAACGCATCAGCAAAGAAAAAATAAACGGTACTACTGTTCCTGTTGGCATTCACCCATCAAATGTTGTGATAACTAAGCCAAAGATTGATAAAGACAGGAGAAATTTGCTAGAACGAAAAAATAAAGCTCTTGCCAAAAAAGATAAAGGTAAAGAAGAAGCTGCTACTTTGATAGACGTATGTAAAAATTTTTTTCTTATAATCATGTTTAAATATTTAATATAAATTAATAACCTATTTCTTTCGTCGTATATTTAGTAAATTAATTGATCGTTGAAGTGCTTCGTTCATAATTTGGAAAAGTGAATTAATATTTAAATAACCAAATTTTAGTCAAATATAATCAGATTGGTTTGTTTTTATTTTTAAAAAAAAATAAAAATAAGGCATTTACTTTAAAAGCTTCTTATTTTTTTAATTAAAAAAATCATTTTTAATGACTAGAACCATTTTAATAATTTTCTTCAGAAAAAAAAAAAAACAAATAAAAGATTGTTTTCTTTTGATGTAAGTCTTAATTAAATAAAAAGGATTAGGTGAAGAAGTTTTTTTTCATTCATAATTGTGAGAATATTATGTATGTATAATTAAATAAATATTCAAAGGATATGATAAATTGAGATTTTATTGCATTTTAAGATTTTGATATTATTAGATTTACAAATGTAATTAGATCTTACTTAATTTTAGTCAAAAAAAATCTCAAAAACAGATTTTTTCTAGCGATCATCCCCATATATTCCGATTGAATGAGAATAAAAAGTGTTTAGCGAAATTTTATATTACAAAACGTTGGTGCACTTATGAATACATTAATGGAAAACGATGATTATATTAATGAATTTTTTTTTATTTTTATTATTATAAATGTAAAATTACTTTTTAAAACCAAAATTTTTTAACTCCAAAAAAGAAATATGATGAATAAAAAAAAAAAATTTTTTTTTCCAAATTGAAAAAAAATCATGACAAAAAAATTTCTTACTTTTAAATTAAAGTAAAAATTATTGATACAAAAAGTGTGTATACTTTATATACATTATTAATTTGATTTGATTAAATTTTCAATTTAATGTAACAAGGAAAATGTTCGTTAGGACGATTATGTTTGCTCACAGGTAAGTAAGTAAGTTTCCAAGGTATTTTTGTCTATAGAGTTAAAGATAATAATTAAAAAGGAGGGGTGCCGATTAGTTTGTAGATAAGACACTTTCAACTTGTGAGAAATCCCCCGAAGTAACAGCATAATGATAATCTCGTAATAGATTATCAACATCCTCCATACTTTGTGGACGAATGTCAGCCAATTCCTTAATTTTAGCAGTAATCTTTTTAACTTGATCATCAGTAAGACTTAAGCCCAATTGTTCAACACGATTCTTAACAGCATTCCAGCCCGTTAGCCGATGGCCAATGGATACATACCTTGTCATACTTTAAAGAAAAAAATAATGAAATGATTAACAATTTGATTCACGTAAATAAAAATATAATTATATAATATATAAATAAGATTTTGACTTACCCGAAATCTTCTGGTTTCAAGATTTCATATGTACTTGGATTATTTAAAATGGCTTTAGCATGAATACCCGCCTTGTGTGTGAATGCGCAGTAACCGGTTATATAATTATTAAATGGAACTTGGACACTGACTGCATCAGCAACCAAATTTTCAAGATCACGAAGCATGTGAAGCTTATATTTGGTTTTAACATAATCCTTGTTAGCGGTGTACATACGAGCGCATAATCCACCAAGAGAAGTGATACCGTTACGCTCACCGATACCAAGAACCGAAGTATCGATATGAGTCGCACCAGCTTCAAGAGCTAAACATCACAAAAACGAATCTTTTGTTAATTGAAAAGTCATTTATTTTTAAATTTAATAAAACAAGGGTATTTCTAAACCTTACCAGCATAAGCATTGGCAATTGCACATCCGGTATCATTGTGAAAATGACATTCAATATCACAAGACACGACTCCACGAAGTGTCCTAACCAATTCGTAAACTTGTCGTGGATTGGCGCAACCAACTGTGTCAGCAATACCGACGCGATTAACTCCCAATTTATCCACTGTGCGATAAATACTTAATAGGTCAACTAAATCACTACGGAACGAATCTTCGGATGAAAATCGAACTTCAATTCCCTTAGATTTAACAAAATTTATAACCTCGGTAGCTTTTTGGGTGATATAATCCATATCTTTGCCGTGAGAAAACTCGCGAAGATATGATGATGTGCCAATTACAACATCAACACCATCAACACCTGTTCATTATAAAATGTTAGAAATTGGATCATTTAATTCAAAACTTTAAATATTATCAATATTTAAAACGGTATCGTACCGGTTTCTACTGCGATTCGAGCATCATCCATATGACATCTTATATGGGTTAAAATCTTGGCTTTCAAACCAAGTTTGCAAATTTCCGCACAATCCTGTCTTGATTGATCTGATGCAGCTGGCGATGTTAATTCGATATATTCAACTCCAAAGTCATCTAATGCTTTGGCGATTTCAATTTTTTTAGCAGTATCGAAAAAAGCATTGGCAAATTGTTCACCCTCTAATAATAAATATATATATATAAAAAATTCGAATAAGTTTCTTCAAAAGACGATAGTTGCAAAAATCAACCAAGATTTGTTGTGTAATTATTTTAAAAAGAACCTCGAAGAGTTGATTCGATGATCGAAAAGTTACTGACACGACTCAGTAAATCTTCATATCGTGGCATATATGGGTTATTCATTTTCTTGATACCATTTTCTTTAATTCCGTTAGTGTTGTTCATGATTATTTACAATACCAGCAAATTTTTTCTTTGGATGGATGATGGGGATTTTTTTTTTATTCAAAATAATTTTTTTTGAAGAAAAAAAAAAAAACTTCGAGTCCATTTATATTAATTTTTTTTTTGATACATGTAACACGAGTATCAACTACCACTTCAAGCATAGTTCACCATAATAAGTAAAAAAAGAAATGGGGATAAGCAAGATGGTTAGATGAACCCTAGATAAATTTAAAAACTTAACATCAAGGGGTGAAGTACAAAAAGATAATCTCAATCTGTAAATAATTCAATTAAGTAATTAAAAAATTGTCATATATATCATATTTGACTCAGCCTGAGTCTTCGAAAAATCAAATAAAACAATGTAAATCTATGGCCATACAAATTTTAGCACAATAAGCTGTGTATTTGTGTCACCCAACACTGCCACGACAATGCCACCACTGCCCATCAAAATGTGAAAATTCCGACTCACGATCGTAACGTGTCATCAAAAAAAAAAAAATATTATTAAATAAATAAATAAAAAAAAGTATATCCCTTATTTTCTATAAACGCAAAATAAAAAAGAATAAAAAAAAAATGCTTAAACCAAAAGCAATTTCTCAAGTTCTTAAACAAGCTACTACTGGTGGTGTAAAGGCAACACTGTATGCTTTTAAATTATTTATTACTAAATAAAGTATTTCCTCTAAATTGTTTTTGATTTTCTTTGCAGACTTTTGAATTCTGAAGGTTCTCCCTTAGCTTTTGTTTCTGATTCAGATCATGATGCCAGGGTTTATGCTGCGATAGCTTCAAACATATGGAGTACTTTTGAAAAAAATGGAAAAAATTTAATGCGTGAGGATAATCTAAAATTCATGTTGGTTGAATGCGAGGTAAAAAAATAAAAAAATAAATAATTCATTTAATGCCCAATTCGATCAATTTTATTTATTTCCACTTTTTAAATATCTTTAGAAAGGAAATGTTGCAATTACTATGGTTAGCAACATGTTACTGTGTCTAGTTGCTACGCCTGAAGTTGAATTGGGAATATTAAAAGCAAAGGTTTTACGAGGTCAACATTTCTTTGTATGATTTATTATATAAATTCATTTATTAATCCAAATTAATAACAACATAAAGACGGATGCATTAGCGAAACATCTTGAAGAACCTTTTCAACGTGTGACAGCTTATACACAAGCATAGATATTTCAAAGAGGTAGGCTTGCGAATTAGGATCAAAAGATACATATAATATCTAATGAATTTACATATATAAAACATATTTTGATGCAATTTTATGCGCTCTCAAATGCAACGGCAGCCTCTGTTCTCACAAAGAAAGGTCCTTCTCGAAGATATCGCGTTAGACGATCAAAAATGTTTGAGGGAATAATATTTTCGGCGTTAGGAGCTTGGACCAAAGCTTGAACAATTGTAAACTTCCATTCCTTGCCCAATTTAGTTGTTTCGGTGGATCGATTTAATATGTAATCAATAAATTCTCGGGAATTTGTCATCTCAGCTTGACCCCAAGGATGCAGAGCCATATTTCGCATGATAGCAAAGCTAGTGATTCGAAGCTCTTCTAAAGTTTGTTTCACATTAGAAATTAAAGTGGAAAGTGGTGTAGGAGCTCCTAAATTACAAATAATAGTGATATATTTTTTCTTTATTTAAGATTCACACGTTAATAAAATTTAAGTATAGAACAATCATACCTCCAATTTGATTATAAATTTGATGGGTGATATCTGAAATTTCTGGTGTTAATTCCTCACTAGAGGAAAAAAATTGGGATGAGAATAGTACACATTAAACCAAAATTACTTGAGAAATCCGAAATGAACATACCTAACACCAAGCAAACACGAAATGGATTGTAAACAAGCTATTTTAACATCCCCTACTGAGTTGTGATAAAGGTCCATAAAATTGCTGAGTATATTAGGGGATACGCTGGCATTTAATAGTTTAAGACCACGAGGATTACTTCCAAAAACTCCAATAATATTAATCGTGTTTATCTTCAAACTCATATTGGAACTAGATAAATATGAATTCATTTTAAATAATATATTGTATTTATTATCTATCTCTGCGAAATCCATCCCCTACAAAAATGAAGAAATAAAAACTTAAAAATGAATATACTTGAAAATTACTCAATGTTAATAATGGACATGCCTCTATTTCTGATAATTTTCCAAAAAATTTGAGCGTAGCACATTGCATTAATACTGATTCAATGTCATTGTCATCTTCTTGCGCCATGGCATCTACAAGAGATTGTATAGTTCCAGCTCTTTCAAGAAATATATATCCAGTACGGCCTTGAATTATCTTAAAGTAATATATTTATATCATTAATTTAAATTTGATCGTTCGAAAATTTCTAAAAATTTAGGTATCAAACCTTTGAAAATGTTTCTATTGCGTTTAATTTAATTAATAAGTCATTTGAATTTAATTCAGAAGTTATCGCATTTAGAGCACCAGACATCTCACATAATTGAAATGCTTCCGGAGAAGATATTGATATTCGAGACACCAGATCGAATACACGAAATTTTACTGTCTCGTCTCTGAATTAAAAATTGAAAAGAAATCAAACTACTGTAAATATAATAATATCCCGATCGCGATGTTTTAAAGTCTCTTTTACCCATGAGAGAGCTGATCTAAGATTGCAATAGACCCTGAATCAAAAAGAGCTTGTAACCCGCTAGAGCAACTAACAAGCTAAAATATAATCCAATTAATTCTTTTTGTTTATATTTTTTTAACAAAAGAACTATATCATAATTTATATACCTTAACAAGGAATTCTGTCACCTTAGTTGATATTAAATTATCATCATAACCCAATCCTTCCAACACTACCGGAAACATTGGCGATCTAACCTATGAATGAATTCAAATATAATAATTATTATCTGTCTTAATAAAATTTAAAGATAATGAATTAATTGATTTTGATACCAGGTCTTGAACTGTTTCTTCAGATTCCAAACATTTTTCAACCTGACTTAATGTCAACATTCGAACTTCCGAAGAATTAAATTGAAGGCCTAACGTCAAATATTCCTAATAATAAATAAAATCAATAACTTTTAACTAGAAATAAATTTGTTTTAAAGCTAAAAAACCTTAAGTTCTAAAGATTCTATATCCGCGTAGTTCAATGTTCGTAAAAGTTTTTCAAGGACTTTACAGGCTGCGGAAGTCACAGCATCGTCGTAGCTTCCTAAAAGAGTAAAGAATGCTGAGAAAGGTATACTATCAAGGATCGCTTGCCTTCTTTGTTCTCCATTCGGTCCTAATTTTTGTAAAAATGTATATTTTTATTTGATTGAAGCAGCAATTTCGACGTTGAAATGAATCGTGCTACCTTCTAGAGAGACATTTACAATTCCCAAAGCAGTTGCAAGTTCTGCGATATCGACGTTACCAGGAAAATTTAGAAAATTTCGTATCGTATCAATTTCTGAAGTTGTTGACACCATGGTTTCTTCAGAATATAAAGATAAAAAAAAAATACATTTAATAAATGATCGACGAAATGATCTATTTTTTCCATCTCTTATCGTACATATATATTTTATTTACAAATCGAAGATATTATTTGTTAGTGAATGGTCAAAAATTATGTTTAATCAGGCAATTCACCAAATTAATGTGTGGTTTACAATTATTTATGACAACAAACCGAAGAAAATATTTAGTTTCAATAAATGATGTGTATTTAAAAATATTATTATGGTTTGACATTGCTTTTTTATTATAGGAATTTTCAATTCGAAATCTGTTGGAATTTTTTATAAGTAATGTCAAGTTTTTCCTTATATCAGGCATTAATACATTATTATTTTATGTAACCAAGATAGGTCAAGTAACCACGTATCTTATGAACGGGTAATTTTAATTTTGAACTTTTAAATTTTATCGGTATTGTATCAAAGTAGTTCATACAACTTTAATTTTAAATGTCAGTGTGTAACGCCTAATATTAGACATAACTGTCGATATTTCAATTTTAATAACGTTGTACATTTTAAATTCAATTCATTAATGTGTTTCGACCGAATTTATGTTACGTGACACATAAATGCTTTATTGTTGATAATATGCAAGATTTTTCACGTTTCTAATGCATCTTTATTTTTGGGGTTCATTTGAGATTTAATCGATTAAATGGCACATTAAAAAAAAAATAATTCTTCCTTAACCTTTCTTGACTTTCCGTTCCGGATAACCAGTTATTTTCCAACTGGTTGAATTAACAGTAATCGGTTAAAGATTTTAAACTGGTTAATTCTCGATTTAAATTTAAGATTATAGTGTGTTACCGTTTTATCCGAATATGAATAATCAACTATGGTTAATTACTTATTATATACTGTATTAAACCATCAATTAGTGCATGTATAGTATATAGATATATAATCAAAGTAAAGAACCAAGTATTATTGAAAATCACATTCATCAATTAATATCTAAAATGCTTTGTTTCCATCTTAGTTGTGATTAATAAAACGTTATAGCAACTGTATAAAGTAAATAGGTATTAATAATGATGAAATTATAAAAATCATATAAGAAAAAGAAAATCATCTATAAATTTTCATTGTATGATTCATTATCTTTCTATATAATTCTTTTTGAAAATAAACTGATTTTGAAATTTTTGTAAAACCAGATAAATATCTTGTGAACTTATTTGATTAATCTTTTATTAATATGATACAGATCTATTAAAAGGTATTTATAATAATAATATCAAAAATTTGAAAGAAACTATAAGACAATTTTTTATGATACTCATTATTGATACAAAATCACAAACAAGTTTGTGCTCTTTCTAATTAAGCAAAGCATAAATAATTCTTTAAATAATAAATAATTAAGAATATATTTACAAGAAAAAAATTAAAAATATATGATAAATAAAATATATAATTAATATTCAAATTATAAAAATAACTATAAATTTTAGCTTTAAAGAATATCAAGGTTAACTAATATAAATATCTGAATCAATAGCAACTATATTAAGATTTGTTCTAACTTAAATATTTATACAATTTTTAAGATTTTACTTATTTTTAAATAAAAATAATTTTAAATACCAATTATTTTATTTAATTAATAATATTTTTATATACAGTTACACTTTAATATAATGAAGTTGGTATCCAGGCTGATCAGACCTTCATTAAAATTAGTTATTATTATAATGAATTATTCAGTATAACAAATAATTACTAAAAAGGAAAATACAAACATAATTTTACTATAATATAATTAAAGTTAATTTTATGATATAGAATAACTTTTCTTTTATTAAAGTTAAAGTAATCTTGAAGCAATTTTAATAATACAAAAATTGTAATTAATCTCAAATAAAACAATTTATAATAATAAATATAAATTTATTTTTAAAAGTTTTTATTATTTATTATAATTGAAAATAAAAAAAGAATGTTTTATTTTAATACAAAATTGAGAACTCTTCAGTAAACAAAAAAAAAGGTAAGAAAATTTATTAATGATAATCCAAATTCAATTAATCAATATCTTACACTAATTGAAATAATCCATTTCGTCACTTTTTTAAAGTACTGAATGTTAATCGAAATATAGCCTAATTTCTACTGATAATTGCCAAAACAATTAGCATTTTTAGTTATAACCAATGTTGCTCAATTTAGATGTTATACAAATAAACATTTGATATTAAAGATTGGTAGTTATTTGATATATCACTAGGCAAAATAATACAATTCATTACATTTAAAATGCCAAAAGTTAGCCAAAATATAGTCTAATTCTACTGATTATTATCAAAAAAATAAGCATTTTAAATAAATAGAAAATCAGCTATTAATCAGCATTTATATTAAAAATTGGTCAAAATTCAATATAAATCAGCTTAAACTCAATTAACAATTAGCAAAAATCAATTAAAAATTGAAACTAATAAAACTTATTTTTGTTTATTTATGATTTATAATTTTATTTTATTATTATATAATAAATTACTCAAAAAAATATATATTGTATTATATTTTATTCAAAAAAGATACATTTGATTTTTTAAAAATAAGAAATAGTTAGAAAACCTACTAAAAACCACCTCTGAGAGGCTAACCTTAATGTATTCCTAAAAAAATAAAGAAAAAATAAAGAAAACAATTAGAAAACTACCAAATTATTATCTTTGAAAGGCTTACCTTAATGTATTCCTATGCAAGTAAAGAAAAAATAAAGAAAACAGTAAGAAAACCATCAAAATACTACCTTTGAAAGGCTTATCTTAGTTTCAAAAAAATAAATTTCCTAAAAAAAAAAGAAAAAAGAGTTAAAAATATCTAAAAGTCACTTACGATTTGCTTACCTTAATTCCCAAAATAAGAATTTTCTAAAAAAAACAAGAAAAAAAAAAAAAAGAAAAAAAAATGCCACAAAAGACACTTCTGATTTACTTACCTTAATTTCCAAAATAAGAATTTTCTAAAAAACAAGAAAAAAAAAAGGAAAATGTTAAATTTCTGCCTAATTAAAAAAAAAAAAAAAAAAAAAAAAAAAATTTATTCAGAATATTCTAAAAGTTTATCAGTTTTATATTGTAAACTGAATTAAAATTTCAATTAATTTGAAATTTGGATATTATTTTTTACTTATCATAAATGGGGTGAGTGCTGGGAAAATAAACCAAATTGATTTTTTTTTTAAAAAAAAGTTTCTAAGTAAAATAAATGTAGATTTGGTCATCTGATTTAGATCATTTGTTATTTCAAAAAAAAATTTTTTGTCAATTTGATCCTTTTTTCCAGCACTCATCCTAAATGTTACAAATAGATGATTTTGCATCATCTGATTGGAATGCTATAGAAAACCTTTTGAAAGAAATGATAATTTAATCATTTCTTAAGAATAATATCAAAATCATTTGAAAGGAATGATATTTTGATCATTTTTAAAAATGATATAGAAAATTATTTGAAAGAAACAATAATTCAATCATTTCTTATGAATGATGATAAAATCATTTGAAAGAAATGATAGTTTAATCATTTCTTAAGAATAATGACAAAATCATTTAAAAGGAATAATAACACAAATCATTCCTTAAGAATGATGATGTATCATTCTGAAAGATCAATGAAATAAATCATTTTAAAGGAATAATAATATATCGTTCCAAAAGAATGATGAAAAAAATTATTCTAAAGGAACAATAATGTATTATTCCGAAAGAATAATGAAATATTTATTCTAAAGGAACGATGATGTATCATTCTAAAAGAATAATAAAAAAATTATTCTAAAGGAATGATGATATATCATTCCAAAAGAACAATAAAAAAAATATTCTTTCAAAATGATAATATATTGTTCCTTTAAGAATAATTTCTATCGTTTCTTTAGGAACGATAGTTCGTTCCTTTAGGGATGATTTTTATCATCTCTTTGGGAATGATATTTCATTCTTTTAGGTACAATTTCTATCATCTCTTTAGAAACAATTCTATTATTCTTTTTAGGATGATTGTATCATTCCTTTGGAAATGATTGTTTATTCCTTTGGAGATGATTTTTATTATCTTTTTGAAAATGATTATTCATTCCTTTAAGAATTATTTTTATCATCTCTTTAGAACGATTACTCTCAAAATATTTTTATAATTTCACAAAAATCAGCTCAACAGATTTTGACTAATAAGATACAATTGATTTGTTGTTAAATCTTGAAGCTAACTGAAGTTTTGCTAAATATTATAACTAAAAGGTCTTAATGCTAAAATAATGCTAAATTATGTATGATATAACAAATTACTATTGATTTTTGTAACTTAAGCTGAAATTTTTCTGAATCACATGACCAAATCAGCTAAATTTTTATCGAAAGGTATTAGTGCTGAAAGAAATAATTTTAACTAGTATAAAAGAATACTATTGGTTATATCAAGACCAATTTGGAATGAATTTTCTATCCAAAAAAGTTAAAGCTTTCTTAATAAAAGAAAAGGTTGTCTTTTTTCATATTTTAAACTAACTTTATATAATTCAATATTTATAACAAGCCAGCAGTCCTTTTCTTTTAAAATGTCATTAATCATACCCTCAATAACTTCAGATTCATTTGCTAAATCTTTTTGTTTTAATAATAGAAATAAAGTTTTTTTTAAACAAATCTCTTTTTTTGTGTAGCAGTAAAAGACTTTCATTCTTTTTTAAAGGTTTCTTACTAGATTTCTTTTGTTTCTTTGAGTTTACTTTTAGTATTCTTATATTAAAGTAAGAAATATGAAAAAATATTGTATAATATGTGAAACAATTTAAAAAAAATTGCAAATTATTACACAAAAAATTTTCATTAACTTTATTAAAGTACAAAAATTACAAAATTTTATATATAAAGTTTATCTTTTTTATTAAAATTCATTTTTGTAAATCTTCGTTATATAACAGCTAATTTCATAATTTATGGACCACTAATAAATTGTGACTGAATGCAACTAAAAATATTTTATAATAAAATTACTATAAAATATTGCGACTGGATGTAACTGAAAAATTATTAATGGTCTATAAATTATGAAATTAGCTGTAAAAAAAACTTTGTTATAAATAAATGTATTATATAAAGAGGCATTTATATAATATATGTTTACACACTTATTCATTAAACATAATATAAATTTAGTTTACTAAATTTGATATAGCAAGAATTTTTCTATATTTAAAAATTTGTATTATACTGAAAATCTATTATGTTGTAAAATTCATTATATTAAAATTTGCTTTAGAAAAGTTGACTATATATAATAAAATTATATTATTTATATAGATAAGAAAAATGAAATTCTGAGAATTTTTAACAATTTAAAATATTTACTTTATATTAATATTAAATATATAAATAAGCTTTAATTAGTTAAATTTTTATAGCATATTAATATAATATAAAAATATATTTTGATATTTTAAAAAATTTTTTAAAAATAGATTTTAGAAATGATTTTTATGATTAATAACTTAAAAAGGATATGATTTATATGATTGATACATTAAAATTCTATATAAAAATTGTTATAATATAGTTTATATATTATTTAAATTAAAATTAAATTTTTTAATTTTTAAGTTAACTTTTTAAAACATTTTGTCTGAGAATCTCATTTTTTTTAGTTTACTTATAATTTATTTATATTTATTAAAGATAAAGTATTTTTTAAAATATTTTTTAAAATATTATCTAAAGTTTTTTTAATTATAATTAAAAATAAACATTAATTTTAAAAAAATATAACTTATTACAATTTGAATTATAATACCTTGAGTTGCAAATATTTATAATTTTAAATTTTATAAAAAGTTACAATATTAACCTAAAATTTTGATAAATTACTACAATTAAATAGGATTTTATTTTTTTTTAATTTAAAAATAGAAGGCTAACTTTTCTTCTTTTTATATTACTTATTATTTGGAAGATGATCAGTAAAAAAAGGAAAAATTAAAATTTTGATCAAAATTTATATTATTAGATCATTTGGTTGATCTTAATCATATAACAAATTTAGCTTTATAATAAAAATTAACAAAAATTTTGTATTTTCTTCTTTCCTACTGATCATCTCCCATTTATCAAATAAATTGCAACTGAATTTTAAAATTGTGTCATATAAAAACAATAATACAATGTAATACCTTTATTTATTTTTTACAATAATATGCATTATATTTAATAAATTTAATTCAATACAAGCTTTAATTCAGCTTGTATATTTTCATATTAATATTATTTTATATTTAAATATATATGTTATCAGTTTAATAAATTTTTTTTAAAAAAATAAATTTTTTTTTTAGATTATAATTAAATAAGTAAAATTAATCAATTATTTTAATACAAACAAAAAATAATTGCTCACCAAATTCATAATACATATATATTTAATAATGAATATGAAACTGTAATAGATTTATCTAATCTAACTATAACATCATCTAATAGTAATTCTACATTTACAATGATAGAAAGCAATTGAGATTATATCTAAATTACTATAATATATTGATTATAAAAGAGATCTTCATTAATCTTGCAAACATTATATATTAGTTTTCAAAATATTATTTTAACATAATATTTTCAAATAACTTATGTGTATTGTGAAAGACTATTATATCCAAAAAAAAATATATTAGAAAGTCTATAATTCAGTAATCAATTATCCTTTATAACAGAATATTCCTAATATTTTATTATTTTTTAATTTTTATATTAATCACATCACTTATCTAAGAATTTCTACTTTATTTTCTTATTTTTATCCTATATTAGAAGAATTTCTTTCTGTACCTATATATAAAAGAAGACTTTTATCACCTTTTTTTCTACTACTTTTTAAATAAAATACCAAATTGCAATTTATATTCAGAATATAGAAGTCTGATTAGCATAATAAATTATTTGCATAATATAATAGCCAATACTTATACTCTAAAGCGTTAGATACTTTCTTGAAACCTAATAAAGCAGAAAATAAAAATAATAAAATTAAAAATGATGAGATCCTTAGATAAGCTGCTGCTTAGCTAAGAATAAACAATTCTTATCTTTATTCGCAACTATCATGCAATCTATAAATGAATGACTAATGAGCAAGACATATTCAATCTAATATAAGCGTACTGCTTATTAAAAGTCATAATATTATTGTTTTTAATTATAAATTTTTCAGTATATACATCTATATATAATCAAAAGCAAACTTTATTTATTCTCATATATCAAGAATACATTAATATAAAAAAATAATACATGCAAATAAACATTCTTTAATTATGATTTATTTCCTTGATTCAATATATTAATGCTTTGAAGGATAACTATTCTCACTATCAGATGGAAACTTTCCAGTAAAATAAAGTCATAAGGCATGTAAATCATATGATCTGTAATGTGATTTTACTGAAAACACTCCCAGATGCTAATTCAACTTAAGCTTGTAATATTTGAGCAATATATTCTAATACTTCTTTTTCTTTTTTCATGTTATCTATATAACTGCAATTATATTCTTTAGATAAATGAACTGTTAGCTTTTCTGATGATCCAACCTAACAGATAAATCTCCATATCCTTCCAGTTATAGCTATTCTGAAAAGTATTAATTCTTGATTGCTATTTTTCAATGCACTATGCATCTGTACAATAACCTGAGCAGTTCTTTGGCTCATATCTTCTGCTTTTTGCTTTACATAGTAGCGACAAAACTTCCAAGATAAACATTCATTGAGTCACTAACTATCAATAATTTAACCTTTCAAAGAGCTAAAAAAGTAATAATACATATAGAAGAAAGAAATAAAAAAAGAAGAAAATTTAATGAGTCTATGGGACAATATCCTTTTCTTCCACTCAGCTGTTTTTCCACATCTAGCAATACTGATATTTTTTTTCTTCTTCGTAAATAACAAACTGCAGTTTTCATAAATGTATTAATATATACATTATTCTTAGTTTCATTATCAAACTCTTCGTCAAATGTTGTAAGTGTATTTTGAAGTTCCCCGACAAAAAATTTTAATTCGTCCTGAGTAAATGGTGATCCAATTTGGGAAGTTCGGTTATATCAAATCTTTGTGTTTGAGTAATTGCGCTATAATTTAGCTTTCCTAATATATGGGTGGTATGCTATTAAAATTGAGGTACGAGACATAGTAAATCATATGATCCGTACCTCAATTTTAATAGCACACCAACCATATCCTTAAACACTTCTACGAGCTTCCCATCACTATATTTCTTTCTACACTTAATCAAAACTTTTAATATAAGCACAACGCTGTTGTCTTGTGTTGTTTGAGACTTAACTACGATGTTAAAGTTGTACGCGTTCCAAATCTCCGTTCCATCATTTACATAATAAATAATTCCTTCCTCTAAATATTTCTCTAGCAAGGGCTTTCAGCTGATCAAAAGAACCACTGGTATGTGGTATTTCGCGTTTACCCTGCCTTTGTTCATACATGAATGTCACCTTAACTGCATTTTTTAAGGAAACTAATAAGTACTTGCTTGAAGTGGTAAAAATAAACCTCACTCACTGTTTACATATAGCGAACAACGAGCGGGTTTTCAGCTGTTGCTGAGTTAGCCAAAGTTTGGACATCTTTATTTGGTTTTTGAGTATTGTTATTGTGCAAAAATACAATATATCGTTTTTTAATATTATTTAACTCATCGTCAAACTCATCAATGAGAAATCTTGTTTATTAAGAATATTAACGATGTGAATATTGGTAAGTTTGACTAGATTTATTAGTTCACTTGATTTTTGCTTATATTTGTACAAGATAAAAGGAGACATAATAAAAACCTTGATCACTAACTATATTGGATCATGCCCTTGGATCATCAAGGAGGTCGTTTTTTATTATTATTACATGAGTATCTGCAAGAAAGTTCGAGAAAATTACGCGTCTACAAGATGTTACAGTCAATTTTTTCTTAATCGCACAGCAATCATCTCAGCAATAATTTTATACTGCGCATTTATTGGGATGCAAATACAAGTCCCTCAATTCCCACAATCATACTATGCAGAATATTATCAGTAAATATATTGTGCTTAATGCACCTTTGCTTTATTGATTGTAAATAAAAAGTACATATTGAATGATAGACGGGACATGATAAAGTCTTATTACGTCTATTCAATCCACCTCCTGTTTTGCATTCGTGATTAGTAACGAGGGCCTTGGAATGGAAACTAGATATTAGTCTTGATGACAAAAAAAACTTATTTCGCACAGTCCTACCCCCTTGATCGCAAAAAAATTCTAATCTAATAATTTTAACCAAGCTATGAACGGCACTTTCTGATATCATACTCTTTAATGGGTCCACTTCACAAATTATTTATTCAATCATTCAAAATAGACATATTTTACTAAATCTAATTCCAGAATTTCAAAATCCTTCTAATTCTAACTAAATGGGTAAAGATTTAGATTTTAATCAATATTTGGCAAGAAAAAAATTTTTTCTTTCAAAAGTAGCATTTATTTATATGGTCACCGTTGATGTTTGATGTTGAACGCAGTTTTCCAATGATAAAAGAATTTTAGATGATGAAAAGATTTCAGAAAAATTCTATTGAAATGTTATTATATTTGCACGAATCCGGTGTGACTGTATTACCGTAACTTACCGTAATTTACCCAACCTGCGGCTGGTCGTATATTTCAAAGTCGCGTTATATTTTACATTTTACAACAAAAAATGAAAAAAGACTTGAAAACGGGCAAAGGTATATATCATCAAATTTTGAAATTTCAACTTATACTTCTCAAGAAATAATAACGTTTTCTATTATAAGTTGTTGAAATCAAGTCAACCACTGTTAAAAGAAAGACCAAAAGAGACAATTCTACGGAGGATAACGAAGTTCCTGTACTTAAAAAAGAAGCAAAATTAGGTTAAATTCTCTTCCTTTATTATATTTAACTCGACCTTTATAATTCCTCTACATGAATTCCCTTCACTTCTCTATCTATACAATTATTTTGTTTTTGAAAAGCTCATTAAAAATTTCTTTGCGCAGAATCTACAAGAGTTTTTTCAATCTTTACGCCAAGAACAAGTGTTCAATGGCGTGAATTTGATTCCGTTTTGATTGGACAACACTTGACACCAAAGGATGAAAAGATTTTAGGACGTTCGATGATTGCCGCTTTTGATTTGGTGTGTACAATGTTTCATAATTGATTGGGTGTTTAATCACCTGCGAAAGTTCGTGCAGATTCTAATATATGTATATGTTTGTCAAAATTAAAGGACGACACTTTAATAACCATAAATGGATCTCATAAGTATCCAAAAGATGAAAATGATTGGAAATGGTTGAATACAACTGTTCCCAAGAAGATTAAACAAATATATGAAGAAGGGTATGATTTTTTTTAATTATAATTAATTAATAAAAGAATAATACTTATTATCTAATGCATATTATGTAGTTACAAGGTTATTATAATAACTAATCAAGGTAGTTTAGAAAGTTCAAAAAAGACTAGCGAAAAGAGAAGAAAAGATTTCATGAATAAAATTGATCATATAGCCAACAACGTAAGCTATCTCTCATCTTTCATTTACCATTTATTTTACTTCTTTTACATGATTAACGATAATAATTATATATTTTTTAAAAAAAAGTTAAATATATCTTTCGAGATTTATGTTGCAACTGCGAGAGATAAATATCGAAAACCGATGATTGGAATATGGACATACATTACACAACACGGGAACGAAGGAGTTGACATTGGTATATGTCCTTTATAAGTTATTGTACTCGTAACATGAATTTTTTTTTTTAATATTCAAAATGAATGTTAACTTTATTTATAGACATTGAAAGAAGCTTTTATGTCGGTGATGCGGCCGGTCGTGAAGAGAACTGGAAACTTAATACACCAAGTGACTGGAATGATACCGATAGGTAAGTAATTTGCCTTATTGTAAGTTAAATCAATCTGATGAAATATATTCACATTATTAATTTTTTTTTTCACAGAAAATTTGCTGAAAACATTGGAATAAAATTCTACACACCAGAAGAATTTTTTGATAATGCTAAACCGGCACATTATTCCTACGGTGATTTCAATCCAAAGAATCTTCCACGAGATGGTTTGTATTTCTAGTCTTTATAAATGTCCAATAAATTTCATTTATTTTTATTAATATTATCAAATTTGTAGTTGAATTGTTCATTCCTGATTCATCACCGCTTGTTCCACCAGACGGACACTGTGAGGTAGTTATATCCGTTGGATATCCTGCAAGTGGCAAATCTACATTTGCAAAGAAATGGTTGGTAAATAATGGATACGTGCATGTGAATCAGGTATTTTTGATTGGAGATTTTATTTAATCTTGCTGGATAACAAGTTTAATTATGATAATTTATATTTAGGATTCTTTAAAGACAAAGGCAAAGTGTATTAAAACTTGCGAAGAAGCTCTAAAGGAAAAAAAGCCAGTTGTTATAGGTACAAATCTTACCTACACGCCTTGCACTGTCTATATACATTTTAATTATGATTTTGTTAATTAGATAATACCAATGCTGATGTCGAAAGCAGAAAAGCATATATCGGTCTTGCGAAAAAATACAATGTTCCATCTCGATGCTTTTGGTTCCAAGCGTCAGAAGCATTAGCTAAACACAATAATATGTACAGAACGTTTGGTGTGGCTAATGGAGTAAGTTTGTTCAAATATATTACTTTCACTTTTTAATCATATCTTAAATAATGCTAATAATGTATTTTTAAAGCCTCGCCCGTTACCAGAAATTGCATTTGTGGCATTTAAATCACGATTTATTGAACCAAAATCCGAAGAAGGATTCGAAGAAATTAAAAAAATTAATTTTATTTTCGAGGGGAGTGATGATGAGAGAAGAAGATGGGAAATGTGGTATACATGATCCTTTTAATACATAATAATAAATCAAAGGTTTCTAAAGTTCTATTGAATTTCATTTCAAAATAAGCAAAATAAGAAGCATTTAGATCTAGATAAATCAAATGATTTTGTTAATTTAGTTTATTAATTTAAATGAATTGAATGAAAAAAGATAACGTAAATAATGTAATAGAAATTTACATAAATTATTTTGTTATATCTTTAATTATTTCTTTTTTAATAAAATACCTAATTTATTGATTAAGATTATCCCTTAACATTTGATTAGGATCTTATTTCAGATACTGAAATATCCAGGTCAACCTGCATAAATAGAAATGTATATGTACACACATATTAGCAATATTCTTTCGACTAAAAACCTTTTTCAATCAATAAACCACGATGAAAACGATAAAAACAACAAAATGAATTTTTTAGAAGTATCTTTCCTTTTTTTTTTTTAAAAAAAAAAAATTAATTAGATTAAATAATGAAATTAGTACAACTTTAAAAACGAAACAAATAATGACCGCTCAAAATTGAATATGCCTATATTTGCTTTTTTATTTTTTTAATCAATAAAAAATTTAATAACTAATGAATTCTCGCTTTTAAGAACGTTACCTAACTTTAAAATATTTAAGAAATATTTGATTACAGTAACTATATTACGAAAAAAGCTAAAAAATTAACTCCCATTTCACGAATTCATTTCATTATAAGGTGATGGGCAAAATCCGACGGAACTGTCAAAATCAAA